GCGGGTAAACGGCGGGAGTAACTTTTATTCCCGTAATTTAAATTTGAAAAATTTCAAAAATATTATCAGTCAAATTAATTAGGATATGCTGGGAACTCTATGCTAGGAACTCTATGCTGGGAACTCTACATATTTCCTAAATTGTTCTATTCCCCCCTCTGACTACTACTGCAGAACAGTAATAAATTGGCAGTAAAACAAAACAGAATAATAAAATACAGCCATAGCTACAGATACAGTGTTACAGCCACAGCTACAGCTACAGATACACTTTCAGCTACATTCTACAGCCTAAACTGTACATTCTAAAGCTACAGCTATCTTTTACAGCTTCAGATACATTCTAAAGCTACAGCTAGATTCTACAGATACAGCTAGATTCTACAGCTTTAGCTACATTCTAAAGCTTCAGCTTCAGCTGTAGCTACAGCTAGAGCTAGAGCTAGAGCTACAGCTACAGCTACAGCTACAACTACATTACCTAACTATATTTACGGTGGGGGAATATATTAGGGAGATATACAACTAAATATGTCGCCAATAAATATATCTTTCTATTAATTTCTGCATTTAATAGCAATAGCTTATTTTAAAGTTCTTACTTTAATAAAAATGCATTCCTTATCTTAACTAGTTCTTACAAACCTTTTTTAACAACATTTTTTGAAAAATTGTTTTTGCAAAAACATTAAAAACAATTTTAATAAAAAATCATTTTTAAATATTTTGAAAGTTAGATAAATCGTAGTTCCGTCCACATACATATATATATGATCTATGTGTGAGTTTATGTGTGCTAAATATTTTCTAATGTTTGTTTTTGTGCGTGTTTACAGTTTAGAGATTGTGATTGTGTGTGAATCATGATGAATAGTGTGTGTGTGTGTGTGTGTGTAGAACTGTCTGTCAGATTGCATGGTTGAACATAGTATTGTAATTACGCCAAATAGAATATATATTAAATCTTGTATTTAAATCTTAGAACAGGTTCAAGCTTGACAGGGAACCTAGAGATAGTAAACTAGGAACCCGGAGCTAGAAATCAAACAAACCTAGAACCTAAATATTGGAACCTAAAGCTTTAAGAAAACTAGGAACCCGAGGCTAGAAATCAAACAAACCTAGAACCTAAATATTGGAACTTATAGCTTTGTCAGAAACCTAAAGACAGACTAGGAGCCCGGAGCTAGAAATAAAAAAAAAACCAGAACCTAAACATTGGAATTAGCTTTAGAAAACTAGGAACCCGAGGCTAGAAATCAAACAAACCTAGAACCTAAATATTGGAACCTATAGCTTTAATAGGAACCTAGAACAGAAAACTAAGAACCCGACGCTAGAACTCAAAATAACCTAAAACCTAAATATGGAACACTGGAACCTAAATCTTTATTGGGAACCTAAAGACAGACTAGGAACCCGACGCTGGAAATCAGAAAACAAAACAGGAACCTATATCTAGAAAACCGGATGGAACCTACAGCTTTAATAGGAACCTAAAGACAGGAAACTAGGAACCCGGCGCTAGAAATCAGAAAACAAAACAGGAACCTAAATCTAGAAAACCGGATGGAACCTACAGCTTTAATAGGAACCTAAAGACAGGAAACTAGGAACCCGGCGCCAGAAATCAGAAAACAAAACCTGGAACCTTGATTAGATAACTGAACCAAAAGACGGAAAGCTAGGAACCCAAAGTTAAAAAAACAGAAGAAAAGAAGAAACCTGGAACAAGGAACCAAGAAATCACATTCAAAGAATAAATGGGATAGAAGTTTCCTCTTTAAAAAAACAAATTTAATTAAAAATAATGTTTTGCAAAATGACTGTCTACACATGAAATAAATTTCCTTGATATTTATTGAAAGGCTCAAGGTCAATTTAGTTCCGCAAGCTTGGATTTCCAGTCTCCGCTTTCAGAATAAATCAAGAAATGCATGGACGACCTTTGCAATATTTGCAAATATTAAAATTGCCAAAATACTGGATATTTGGATTTAAATGTAAAAATATTTGTTTGCAGAAACTTGTAAGCTCAAGGCATTTTTCTATAAACCTTGTAAACTATGATACTATTTAATATATATATATATATATATATATATATATATATATATATATATATATATATATATCTCAATATATAATTATATGTTGAGATTTTCTTCGAATACCATTTAAAATGCCGGCAGCTTAATACGAATTGTTTTCATTCCTATTCTTGAATAATTTAAGCACCCTCAAAAGTACTGGCGGAGACAGAGCTTTAACAATTAAAATGTTTTGGAAACATTTACTTAACTAGAATTTAAAAGCTTTGCATTAACGAATTTCACACTTGGTAATTCCCGGGCCCGAAAAATGAGAGATGTCAGGGCCCAAAGTGTCTAGATCGAGGAAGTTAAGACCCTGTTAAGGCTGTAATATCAATCTCAGGAGATATCCAAGTACAATAAAATACACGAGTAGTGTACTCCTGTACACTGTACCTGTACATGGACTGTTTTTGCAAGTAATCCAATACAATAAAATATTGTTTTCAACCAAACTAGTGTTAAAAGAATTGTAATGTGAACATTATTATCCACCCCCCCCCCCTCTCTCACCCTGATTCTCACACGAGCAGGCTAACAAAGCCCTTACACACCTATACTTTATATTCAGTACTTCTTACACAAATGTTCTAGCATTCAATCTAACTAAACCTCGACGTAGAAAACTAGAAATAGATAAGTTAATGTAAAAATGTCAATGTTTACGTTTATTATCTCTGTCTCTGTATAATGTTTGTGAGTCTGTTCAGAATTCCCAATTAGCATATAATGTATATATAGGATATCTAGAGAGGGGGGAATATCTGTTACTTGCCAAGTGTACATGTTCACACAATCAAGGAATCCAGGACTTGTACAATTCATGTACGGTACACAAGGAAGATCGGCCAGGATAACGTGTACATATTCACACAATCAAGGAATCCAGGGCTTGTACAATTCATGTACGGTACACAAGGAAGATCGGCCAGGATAACGTGTACATATTCACACAATCAAGGAATCCAGGGCTTGTACAATTCATGTACGGCACACACGGAAGATCGGCCAGGATAACGTGTACTTCAGGAACACGTGCATGTGTACATCATATTCACACAATCATGAAATCCAGAGCTTGTTCAATTCATGCACAGTACACAAAATAATTGTACATAAGAAAGATCCGTCAGGAACCTGTGTACATGTTCAAAAAACTAAGGAATCCGGAGCCCGAAATTTAAAAGAGTATCATTGAACAAAACTCCCGAGTTTCCTTCTTGGGGTCTTAACATTTGTGTAGATTTTGATTTAAGAGAATCAAAAAAAATTAAGAATATAAAAAAACTGAATAAAATAATATTTCAAAACAAAAATATTAATATTCTTAAAACTGCCTAACCCCATTCGTGAAACCCGGGTTTTAGAACTAGTTTTCAGAACGATACCCTGTCTTAAGTTTTGGGCTCGGGGTTTCAACAATTCATGTACAGTACTATAAGTAATTGTACACAAGAAAGATACGTCAGGAACCTGTGTATACAATATACATGTTGATAAATTTAAGGTGGCCAGGTCGTGTACAACTTATGTAGGGTACAGTAGTACATACGGAACCCCGTAGACATTGTTTACAAACTAGTGTACTGCAGTTTTATTTTTTTTAAATATAAACTAAACCTAATCAGCTCTGAGTTTGTTTATATTCCTCCCAGAAGCTGCAGTACACTTTTAATGTAAACAAAATGGATGTTCCTTGCTTGTACACATTTCAAAAGATATTTTAAGTCCAGTTCATTTAGAAATAAAAATTAAAATACTTTGCAACTAAATTTAGAACTCAACTTGGTTTCAGAATATATATATATTTAAGCTTAACAGGAAAGGGAGGGTGGGGTTAAGAATTATAAATATTATCAACTAAAAAACTGTTTCAAATATTGAATTAATGCCTGTTCTGAGAAACTTTAAATATTAATTTATCAAAAAAAAAGATTTTACATTTTAAGACGTTCGAGAAATATTTTAATATCGACATTTTCTGCTCATCACAATTGGTGTAAATTAAGAAAAATGTAATAAGAACATTTTTGCAAGGGAAAAACTCTCAATTAAAAAGAATTTTGTTCAGGAAAAAATGAACCTAAAAATAATTTACATTTTGTACACTTAAGCTAAGAATGTAAAAATCAATATTCTTGAATTGGTCTATATGACCTGTAAATTTATCCCACAATTTTCAATACCGATCATTATATAAATAAATCGATAAGCGATCTACAGTAGTAATTCTTTACTAGATTATAATTATAAAAAATATTATGAAATCTCTTTATTTCTTTGATCTCCCATTCTTTAATTGTTTTAAAACAAAAAATTTCCTGGTATGCTATTTTTGGACCCCCAAGTACAATAAAATACACGAGTAGTGTACTCCTGTACACTGTACCTGTACATGGACTGTTTTTGCAAGTAATCCAATACAATAAAATATTGTTTTCAACCAAACTAGTGTTAAAAGAATTGTAATGTGAACATTATTATCCACCCCCCCCCCCTCTCTCACCCTGATTCTCACACGAGCAGGCTAACAAAGCCCTTACACACCTATACTTTATATTCAGTACTTCTTACACAAATGTTCTAGCATTCAATCTTTACTGAATATCAGGTTGGAAAGGTTAGTTTTTTATTGTTTAAGTATAACACACATTTTTCTTGCCCCCCCCTAAAAATGTTAAGGGGGGGGCCAAAAAAATTTTTCGCCCTTCGCGCGAAATATTTCCACCTAGCCCCCCCCTAACCAAATGTCTAGTTGCGCGCCTGTTTGATATTGTAACAAGGGCCAAGGCAATTAACTGGCAATCATTTAGTTAATTAATAAAATAAATCCTTAAAACTGTTTTAATAATTAACAGTTCTTGTTTATGTTAAATTTTATACTTTTAACTCGGTTAATTACAATACCTGATTCCAATCTGTATGTGGGGGGCGGGGTACAGGGGCCACACCCTCCCTAGAGGGGGGCAGGGAGGGTCTCTCCACCCCTCCTAACATGTCCACCAGACATCAGTATCTTTATTTAAGCACACTAGTTGGCCAGATACTCTCTTATCTATTTAACTAATTATTTATTCATTAATACAAGCTCATGCTAATTACTTTGATTAATTTCACTCAAAAATTAACTTTTGGCATTTTTCACTGTAGCATTCTTTACTGGAGTTAAATATATATAAATACAATACGTATATATATTGTACGTGGAAAAGTACAGGTTCCTTGTTTATCACATTTTGTAAACATATATTATATATATATTTATATATTTCACTATATCTCAGCTGTGTGTATATAAACCGGCAGAAGAGAACTGGAGTTTATACCGCTCACAACTATCCAGCCTGCCACGCAGCACAGTGGGCCAAACAGACAGGGATATAAAAAAAGATTGAAATACCTCAATTTTCAAAAGAAAAAAATGAATTATTTTATTTTTCGAAATATATTTTTAAAGATAAACTAATTTTGTCCCCAGTTTGACCCAGTGTGAATTTATGTGAAGGGGGGCAGATGTCCGTTGACTAGGTTCACATTTTACACTAGATCTAAGAAAAACGACAAAATGGAACTGAAACCAAGATACACACTGTAGGGGGTCGGGGAGGGGGGGGGGGGAGATCAAGAACTTAGATAAATAGAAGATAGAGAACGAGGAGAGAATTTCTAGTGTTAATATCCGGTATAAATAGTTCACCTTAAAGAAAATTTAGAACAAAGAATTATATTAATGGTCAATTCTGCAGTCCTGAATGAAAGATGTATATGTAAGCTATGTGCAGATGAATAAAAGCTGATTCATGATTCATGTGAATTTTAATATTTTTGAAAAGTTCAAAACACATTTTTTTAGTTTTTAAACCTTTTGAAATTAATTATATGCATGCTTAAACAATTGTTTAAAGCACGAAGTATAGTTTACAAATTACAAAAGATTATCAGATAGAGGTCAATTCTAGAATTCTTATAATTTATGTTTTAAAAAGAACTTTTAATGAATTTGCTAAAGAGGTTGCTTTTTCTCAAGTATTTCTTTACAGTTTTTGTTTCGGAGGAGAATTAGAGCTATTAAATAAAATCAAATAATTACATCATTTCATCGACTTTTGCTATATTTTCTCCCCCCTCCCCCCCTTCCCTTGTTCTTTTTCACCATGTTTCAAGTTTTTGAGACATATTATCATATAAAATATAAATATACTTACTTTAACATATCTAAACAATTTAAACAATATAACATTTAATTTCCTTACGTCATTGATTTAAATATGTGTGCAAATTATTTATTGCGTAATATAAAATGTTTGAAGTATGTATGTGCATATAATTGAAGCATGAATTCGAAACTTCTCCCCCCTCCTGTCTTAAAACTAAAACGGAGAAGTGGAGGGGGAGGAGGAGGAGGGAGGGGGTGGGGTAGAGGGCAGGATTTATTTACGTCTTGTATTAAACTATTAACAAACGATCATAGTACCAACCTAGTACCAATGTACCTAGTTATACTCCTACATAGTAACTACATAAAACTGTTGAGTATCTATTCTACCTCATAACTACATTATAATTAGTATAAATAGGTCCTACACATTACCAATCTATGTATTATTTACTAGCTAGTAACTATAGTATACTATAAGTAGTGCCTAGTAAACCTTTTATCAATGCAGTACTTAGTACCCAAGTACCTACCTGGGAGCTGGTACCTAGCTCCTACCCCAGTACCTTCCTGGCATCTACAGTACTAGAGTTTCTACCTAAGTATCTACCTAGAATCTTGTACCTGGCTCCTACCAAAGTACCTACCTAGAATCTTATCCTAGTTCCTACCTAAGTACCTACCTAGAATCTTATCCTAGTTCCTACCTAAGTTCCTACCTAGAATCTTGTACCTAGTTCCTACCTGAGTTCCTACCTAAAATCGTGTACCTAGTTCCTACCTAAGTACCTACCTAGATTCTTGTGCCTAGTTCCTACCTAAGTACCTACCTGGAATCTTATCCTAGTTCCTACCTAAGTTCCTACCTAGAATCTTGTACCTAGTTCCTACCTAAGTTCCTACCTAGAATCGTGTACCTAGTTCCTACCTAAGTTCCTACCTAGAATCTTGTGCCTAGTTCCTACCTAAGTACCTACCTAGAATCTTGTACCTAGTTCCTAACTAAGTACCTACCTAGAATCTTATCCTAGTTCCTACCTAAGTTCCTACCTAGAATCTTATCCTAGTTCCTACCTAAGTTCCTACCTAGAATCGTGTACCTAGTTCCCTAAGTACCTACCTAGAATCTTATCCTAGTTCCTACCTAAGTTCCTACCTAGAATCTTGTACCTAGTTCCTACCTGAGTTCCTGCCTAGAATCGAGTACCTAGTTCCTACCTAAGTACCTACCTAGAATCTTGTACCTAGTTCCTACCTAAGTTCCTACCTAGAATCTTGTACCTAACTCCTACCTAAGTACCATACCTAGAACCTTGTACCTATAGAAACTATAGAACGATGTTAAAATTCCCCTGAAGTTGAATATTTCCTATTTCCTAGAATTGTCCAGAATTCAAACAGATTTTTATGTTAATTTCTTCTCCGAGCTACTCTCTCAATCCTTCCTTGTAGTTCATAATACAGCAATTATTATTTCAAAGTACACGGTACTGAGGTATAATACAGAGCTATCATACAGCATGTACAATACACTGTACACTGTACAGTGTACATATAGGAAACCTTCAAGCATATATATGAAGGCCTTTACTTTTTTATACAGTAGAAAATGTTGAAGTGTGTAAGCTTAAATAACGACGTAAAAAGTTTTAAATGCGCAAATATGAAATTGCCCAAAATGTATATAACGAATTTAACCAAAATGCATCTGAACTTCATATTTGAACCAAACATTTAACTTTTTAGATCCGGGATAACACTTGGCACACCGGGAAGGATGTAAGTCTACATCACTTAAATATTTATAACTATGCTTTTAATTGTGGCTTTATCTGTGAAAATCTTCTCTTAGTACAGTATAAAAAAATTAATTTGCGGATTTTCAAAATTTTACAAAATTAAATAATTTAAGATAAAAATATTTCAAGATTACATATTTAAAGTCTAATTGGCCATAAACGTTCCCTGGGGCCACGTTAGGTCCCACACAAAATTTGGGCCTGATCGGCTTAGCCGTTTTGACGTTCATGGGTACAAACAAACAGACAAACAGACAGACAGACAAGCTAAATTTATATATAAGTGCATTTTTATGTACCAGGAGCAACTAGAATTTGTCCAGGGGGGCTCAAACTTTTTCACTTTCCAGGGGGACCTCAACTCCGTTGGACGCTTAATTCCAATAAAATGTGATATTTTTACTCTTCTTCCAGGGGGGCCAAGCCCCTAAGCGCCCCCACCCCCTTGTTTTCAGGAGTTCGATATTACATACAAATATTAAGATGTTTAGCACAATGATAAAGAAAATGAAGAAAACATTTAATTTATAAACATTCATCCTTAATCATACTCAAATATATTTATGATAATAAGGACAAATCAATATAGATTGAGCCTGTAACAAATTATTGTGGTTAACCCACAGTGTATTGTATGAAAAATTCAGTGATGGTGATGGACCAAACCTCTATAGAGTAAAAAAGTAGATGTTAGTTCCACATTTATTGAAAATATATTTCGGTCTGGGTTGACCCTCGTCAGTTCTTGAGATTGTTTCTTCACAAAGATGAAATGTAGAGAGAGAATTATCAATGTTAAATGTATACATAGAATATTCATAATATGCATAATTTCCAAAAGTGTCCTATAAATAAATATAAGAATTAAGTGAAAATATTAGATTTGTGTTTTATAGCTTTAGTAGCTATTTGTTTTTTTTATGGAAAAAAATATTATTTCATGATAACGATGGTAAAAATAAATAAGAATTTAGATAATATTATTTATATCTTATTCAATTTTTTGTTAAAGAGTAGAGAGTTTAAATAGTGTTGGGAGTTGTTAATAAACTATTTCTTAATCTAACTGATTAATTTAAAGTTTATACTTGCCAGGTTTTACTCAATTTAATTTCTTAAATTGTAAAAGACAAGTAATTATTCTCGTTTACTCCTATAACGCTGCAGAAACCTTGCTCCTGTCCTACTCCTGCATAATATAGAACAAGAGGTCTAAGTATTGTATAAACGTGGAACCAATATTTGAATAATGTGTTCACAGTTTCTCCTGGTTCCGCCCCCAAATAGTCGGTTTCCGCTACACCCGCCCTACAAGGCTATTCCCGCCTAACATAATTAAAGAGCCCGGTACTCGGGTGGGGGGAGGTGTGTGGGGGGAGCAGGAGGGGGGGGGGCACAATCTAGATTTAGATAATCCTTTATGGTTCTCTATCTATTTCTAAACAAGCCCGTTGGGAGATTTTTTATCAAATTCACACCACATCAGTGTCTAGGTTCAGCCATTTTGTTTACTCTTAAACATATGTAAACACTAAACAGTAATATTTTACGAAAAAACGTTTAAGGAAAGCGACTCTCTCAGCATACTTAGTCTTACTCTAAAATCATCTGTAAAATTAAACTTGATACAGGAGGATACAGGAGGATACAGGAGGATGCAGGAGGATACAGGAGGATACAGGAGGATACAGGAGGAAACAGGAGGATACAAAAATACAGAGTTATGAAGATGTAAAATGAAGATTAAGCGAAAGTGTGTTGTGTTAAAGAAATAAATGTAATAAATCTTATAAATAGAGTAATATGTGTTACTGTTAGTGTATAATTAAACGGCTAGCTGAGGAACATATGTTTACTTTTCTTTCTATGTAATATTAGAGATACAAGAACATATAATAGTTTTAGTCACTCATTTATTATTATACGATTTATTGATTTATATCATTGAAATTTAGGTTCTTCTCAAATAGATTTGTTTAAATAATATTTAATCTAATATCATTCCCTGGGGGAAGGATGGGTGGGGGGTTATGGAATCCACGCCCGAAGGAAAATCCTAATTTTGAACCTCACTATAGTCACATGTAGTCACTTGAAGTCACATGTAGTCACTTGTAGTCACTTGTAGTCACTTGTAGTCACATATAGTCACTTGTAGTCACTTGTGTCTTTGTAAGGACTTTAAGACTTACAAATAAGCCCTCTATAGGATTGATGATAAAGAATGAAAATATCTTAAATGGACTAAATTTAGGACTAATGATTATGGCATTTGACAACTATGGATCATGAACTGGAGATTAGAAAATTAGCAATAAAGTATGTTTGAGAATTATAAAAATTATTACTGTTCCAATATT